TAATGATGTATGCTGTTTTACCTTTAGCCTCTTTAACAGACAACAAAACGCACATACCAAACTCAAAATTCCTACTTAATTTAAGAGAAGCTGGTAAAAGTAAAATGTTTACTTTGTACCTTCAACATCTTTATGATTCTCTCAGGAAATACACTTGTTTTCGGTATCGTTTGGTGAATTATATTGTGCCCAATAAAAAAATACATAAAATTACTGAATTATTGTAAGGGGGCAAAAATGTTATTTAAAAAAACTCACAATCCCAGTACACTCATAATATCATCTTTATTTCTTACATAATTTTTCAGTGTTTACACACATACTTTTGGAGCTAAAATACATTGAATTTGTTTTCTAATCCTTTGTACTTAATAGTCTAACATGTGTATTTCCTATATTTTTAGTCTTAACCAGTAAAAACATTTTTTTATTGTGGTTAAATACACATAATATAATTATCATTTTAACTATTTCTTTTTTTAAGGGTGCTCTTTTTTTTTTTGCTGGCAAAATTCTCTCTGAGCTAACGTCTGTTACCAATCTTCCTTTTTTTTTCTCCCCAAAGCCCCACTACATAGTTGTATATTCTAGTCAAAAGTCCTTCTAGTTCTTCTATCTGAGCCGTCACCACAGCATGGCTGCTGACAGATGAGTGTGTGGTTCCACGCCTGGGAACCAAACCCAGGCCACTGAAGCAGAGTGTGCCAAACTTTGACCACTAGGCCATCAGGGCTAGCTCATTTTAACTATTTTTAAGTGTACAGTTCTATGGCATTAAGTACATTCACATTGTTGTGCAACCATTACCACCATTCATCTCCAAAACTTTTTCATTTTCCCAAAATGAACTCTATACTCATTAAACCCTAACTCCCCAATTCCCTTTCCCTTAGCCCTGGCAACTACCATTTTACTTTCTGACTCTACAAATTTGACTTTTCTAGGTTCCTCATATAAATGGAATCATACAATATTTGTCTTTTTGTGACTGGCTTATTTCACTTAGCATAATGTTTTCAAGTTTCATCCATGTTGTAGCATGTGTCAAAATTTCCTTCCGTTTTAAGGCTGAATAATTTTCCATTGTGTGTATATACTACATTTTATTCATCCATTCATCCATACATGGACACTTGGGTCGCTGTCACTTTTTACTTTTTGTGAATAATGCTGTTATGAATATGGATGGTCATGTATCTGTTCAAATCCCTACTTTCAGTTCTTTGGGGTATATACCCAGAAATAGAATAGGATCATATGGTAATTCTATGTTTAATTTTTGAGGAACCACCATACTGTTTCCCCATAGTCTAGTCATTTTTATTGGCTGTATAATGTTCCATTTTATTTCTATACCCTAATTTACTGAACCATTCCAGAAGTGTTTCCTAAGGAATCTCAAGTTTTCATTTTTGCATTGGATAGGAATTAATTCTGGTTTAGACAATGCCCCAGGTTTTTGCCCCAGTTTAAAAATAATTCATATACATATATCATTACTTCCAATAGCTGATAGTTGTTTTTTTGCTTAGTGCCACCTCACAATGACTTCCCCATATCTAGGAAGTGCCTTGTCCATGGAGTAAGTCCTCTCTAGCTAGACCTCTGCTTTCCAATGTGGTGGCCGCTAGCATATATTTAAACTCAAGTCAGTTAGAGTGAAATAAAACTAAAAATTCATTCCGTCTGTTGCACTAGCCATATTTCAAGTGCGTAATAGCCACACAGAGCTAGTGCTACTGAATTGGGCAGCACAGATATAGAACATTTCCACAATCCCAGAAGGTTCTACAGTGAGCATTGCTCTAGACTGTTTTTGACTCTGACCACTTGGCCATGGCTGAATTAGAGCCTATGAGGTACTCCCAGAAATGATTACATGTCCTAGGGGACAGGCCAATGATAGCCACATTCAGAAGAGAATGCCATAAACTCTAGAACGTGAGTGTCATAATTTACAACTGGGACTCTCTCTTTTGGTGGCTGGAAAACACCTACCCACTAATTGCCATATCAATCTTCTTCAGAATATGAATTCATGGTCTTAAGTTTCTTGGTGATGGTCACCTAATCCAAGCTGGGTCAATCCAGCTTCCCCCTTCCTTTAGGAATTTAGAACTGGGAAGGAGAGGTTTCAGTTAAGTCCTCTAGGTGTCTAGAACCGTAAACCCAGGAGCAATAGTCATATCCCACTAGGTAAAACAGAGAGTTGGATATAGCAACAGAAAGAAAACTCAAGCAGGTAAGCAGAGATGAGGTTGCCTTTTAGGTTTTCTATATTCTGGTTCAGATCTCTTCTTTACACCCATGTGCATTCCTCACTTTGGGTTACAGGAGAAAAACCCGGAGCCCACTAGTGAATTCTTTTATGCTTAAGTTAGCTCGAATTGGTTTGTTATGCTGGGAAAGGGGGAATCCTAACTAATACACATACATACATACACTATAGATACAGATATCGACATTTTTGCATTGTGGAGGTAGGTATGTGTGGTCATGCGTAAACTTTGTATTTAGTCGTTTTACTGGGCCTCCGGGTTCCCCATCAGCTCCCTCTAACCTTTCTCTCCTTTTCCTCTTGCTTTATTTCCTTCTTATCTTAAGAGTGTGCTTAGGCTGTCCTCTGCTTTTTATTTTCTTTTCCTTCCCTTGATCAAAGTATGCCCTCTGCTATCTTACTGGGTGTGGAAGCTTTATTAAATCAAGTCAAGCAATATGTTAACAACTGATTTTATTCTTTAGGTTGTATTGCATTTTAATCTCTCAGGACTAAGTAATTCAGTCGACATTCATTAACAAATGACTGAATAAACAACCCCTCATAGGCCAAAGCAGTGAATGTTGAGCATCAGAATCTGGCATGAATAGAACTGAGTGGGGTACTTACGCAAGTCACGGCACACTACTTTATTTTTTTTTTTTATTGAGGTAACATTGGTTTATAAATGGCGTGCTACTTTAGATGGACTGATTAGGGGAGACTTCTTGTGGGAGGGTGAAAAGACGGAGGAGTCAGTTAGGAAAAGAAAATGAGCAACAGCACCCCACTGAGGGAAGAGGCACATACAAGTGTCCTAGGTAGGAAAACATGTAGTGTTGTCACGGAACAAGGGAGGCCAGCGAGGCCAGACGGAAGTGAGCAAAGGGAAAGTAGTGTGAGCCCTGGTAAGAGGTTATGATAATATCTCAAGTGCAACGGGAAAGTTTTAAAAGTATTTAAGCAAGGATGTGAGCTGATCTGATTTGTGTCTAAAAAAAATCCCTCTGGCTACAGTCTGGAGAATGAATTATAGGAAGACAAGCAGATCAGTTAGGAGGCTACCGCTATTGTTGGCAAGAGATCATAATGGCTTAGCCTAGGGGGATTAGAGGCAAATTGAGACTGAGAACTTGAGCATGTGAGATTTTGAAGGTAGAAACAAAAGCTCTTACTGATGAAGTTATCCCTTTTACCTTCTAGGTAGCCAGCCCCCATATTAATGCTGTCAACGAAGTAGACACAAAAACACTAAAAAGTCAAGAAGGGCCTGCCTGTCTCAGTTTCACAGGCTCTGGGCTCATGTCTTAGGGAAGCACCTTGATTCCAACAACTCCCCCAGGGTAAAATTCTGCCATCATTTTCCTCCCTTCCCTTTGAGTGAACTTGGGGGATCAGTGACTGCTAAAAATCGACTCTCAGCAAAAGGACAGTGGTATTTGGGGTTCAGTGACACATTCCCAACTTTTAATTTAAATAAATGTTCACTTTTAATTTAGTATTGCTTATTTTACATTGCACGAAGTGAGAGAGAAGGCATTTGGTTGGCAGCATCTCCTATTTCACCCAGGAATATTGTATTCACCCTCGTACCCCCAAACAACCTAGGGCAAAATTCCTTTAGAATAATTCATCTACCATAAAAGATGGGTTCCCTTACACCTATCCAAATCTCGTGCGTTTGGGGGACCCGCGTCCCGCCGCACAGACAAATGCACTCATTGTCTGTCCCGCACCAGTCCCGCTGGATTAGATGCTGCGTGCATTTCCTGCACCGAGCTGCTCGCTGACTGCAGGCGTGCTTCTGTCGTCCCCCTGCCCCCACCCGGATCCAGAGCTTTTGTTTCTAACGTGTCCTCCCTACGCTGTTGAAATGCTTGGGCACATCGTTACCAAATAAATGAATGACTCGGAACTTTTCTTTCGCCTCTTAACCTTTAGGCCACTGTCCAGCAAAGTTCTGGAAGGCACCTAAACCCCGCAGCTCGTGTAAAGGGGCCAATCTACATGGAAACAACGGAAACGTGGACACTGTTGTCTCCCAAACTTGCAGCTCTGCGGGGACATGCGGGGTTTTGTGGGAGCAGCGCTTTGCAGCGGCTTCCAAGGGCCGGGCGCGCGGGCCTCGCTCCCGCGTCTGCTGGGCGCGGGGAGGGGGCGAGGCGCGGGCGGCC